CTAGCGGGGGCTCGGGGCTTCCGGTTACCCCTACGGCCACTCCGCGGATGGAGAAACCGAGGCGTCGGGTGGAGACCCCGGGGCGCGGGAGCCCAGCCCAGATCTAGTCCGGCTTCTGCACGAGCGCGCTCGCCACGAGTTCTTTCCTACAAGAACCTACCTGGACCCTCGACGTCCCCAGCGCTGCGCGAGCGAGGGCGGCTTATCAGGACCGGACTTTAAAAAATAACTGTAGGAACAGTTAAACGACTGCCCCTTTCCCTTTTTTTTTTTTTTTTTTTTAATCCTTCCTTCCCCTTCCCTGGTCCTGTGCTTTGCATTTCGTCGTTGGGTCCCTGAAGGCTGGAGCCCATAGTCAGATACTCATGCTTAAACTGGGTGATTTCTTTCCATACCACCGCGATTAACATGATTTTTTTTTTTAATTTTCAGTTCTACTTTACTAGGGTTTGGAGACATCCCAGTTTAACAAAGGTTTTTCTCTCACATATACTCAGATAACAGTAATGTTGGAACTGAAACATTTTTTTCAAAATTGTTTGCTTAGATTTTGTGCCATTCTTCTAGCTCTGTTCTTCCCCTCTGGCCAGGGTAGGAAAAGTGGGTGTACAGGAGGCAAGAAATGTTCCAGAGAGGGGATGGGGGGCAAAGAGAAAGACCGTATTTAAAGAGGAGTTAGCTGGAATTCGCATTGGGGACAGGGTGAGCTGCAAAAATAAGAAAAAGGTCAATGTCATAGACTACTGCTAAAATAATAGATACCACTTAAGGGGCACATACTGTGTGGTAGGAAAGTCACATATGTTATTTTCTAAAATCCTTATAATCTCTTCTAGACTTTCTAAACCCTACAAGACAGAAGTTGTTATATCCGTTTTACAGATGAGGGTCATGAATTTTACATAAAATAGGACTGGGATTCTAGCTCAGATTGCTTACTCAACATTCTAATTCCTAGTTCCCCTACATCTCTTCCAGCACGGCCCCTTGAGCCCACTTGTTCTTTTTCATATTACATTGTTGTTGTTTGCAAAGGGAAGGGGAAGACAGAAGATGAGGTGTGTAGGAGATTAAGATTTATGTACATGGCATCTCATTTAATTCTCACAAATCTTTGAGGTAGGTATAATCTCATTACAGATGAGAAAACTGAGGCTTAGGGACACTAAATAACTTACCTGAGACCGTGGATATTGGCATTCAGACTATCTGATTCCAGAAGGCAAGCATTTTCTATGAAATGCTATCTCTCAAGGGGAGGGATGGAGCAGTTTCCAGGAAATAAACAGCATAAAATCCCTATGACCTAGCTCTCATGGGTGAGGCAGGGCCTGCTGACTCATGCCAGAATGTTTGTGGAAAGAAGAAATTCCACTTGGACATCTCTTGTCCATCAGTTTTCAGCCTGACCTTCCTGACGGCCTGCTCCTCCAGCCCCCACCACCAGGTCTTGAACGCAGCTTCCAATGCTTGAACTTCCTCTGTTCTTCTCAAAGGGCATCTCAGTCTTCGAAGCCCACCTCTAAGTGAGCCTCTCCCTCCGCAACACCCTCTTCCTGATTGGCTCTGCCATTGTGGCTTCCAGACTCCAGATCTCACATAAACCACCACATCCAGAGCAGCTGGAATTTAGCCCCGATATCAGTTATTTGACAGTATCCAGTATTCAGCTCTCAATGGTTCTACTTAAAGGAGTTGAGCTGTTGATTGAAACTGCATCCATCATGGCTCCAGATTTAACAAGAAGCTCAACAATATCCTTTTTTTTAAATCGTCACCCGAGGATAGGTTCTGGTTGGGTTTTTGTTTTGGGGTGTTTGTTTGTTTGTTTAGAGAGAGGAAGGCAGTGAGAGAGAAACATCGATCAGTTGCCTCCCTTACTTGTCCTGACCCGGGACCATATCTGCAACCTAGGTATGTGGCCTAACCGGCAATCGAACTCGCAACCTCTTGATGTACGGGATGACACTCCAATTAACCAGGCCACCCAGCCAGGGCACTCAACAATATCTTGTTGGTTTGAATGGCATGCAAAACGAAGCGGAGTCCACAGAAGATTACCTGTTGCATTAACTTTAGCCCTACTTAGATAAGATAGATGCACAAGCTAAAAATATGGGTTATTCCAAGCACTGGAGGCTAAAAATGCTAAGACTTCAGAGTTTTATCAACCTGTTCAACTATAAACCAAGGAAGCTCTGAATAAAGTTAAACTCTGTGTCATAATTTTTCTTGACAAGTGTTCTGCATGGCCTGACAGTCTTAATTTTGTGTACACATACACATTTTGTTTAATTTTAAAAAGCACTTAAGGCCCCAGGGGTTATAATTTTGCAAAAGTTAAAATCAAGTTAAGTTAAAAGCTGATGAAATGTGAGTTATGTTATTCCATTTTGTGTCTATTTCTGCATGTTATGAATTTTTAAATGTATCTTCTTTATTAAAATTCTAAGCATTATTGTGGACGAAAGGGGCCACATGCTGACCTGACAAGCTCAGGGGAGGCCTGCATGGCGGTCTTGCAAACTCAGAGACCTAAAGTAACCACAAAGGATGGTCTGAAATTAAACTTTGACTAAAAGCAGTTATGGTGGGCAGTTACGTCCTAGGCCAGTATCTTCACTGACAAGGTCAACCTTTACCTTAACTGAGCCTATCTGTCTTTTTGCATCTATGATAACA